GCCAGGCCAGCTAACACGAGTCCCGCACTCGTTCCATCAATTGGCGCGTTCAGTTATTCGAGATTCGAACGCTGAGCCCATACTGAACAGAAGCTGAATCGCGTGGACAAAACACGCACAACACAATACGGGGGGAAAAAAAAAAAACTGGCCAACAATAGCAAGCGTGACGATAACACACAGATACACATTGATTTTTACAGAATCGAGTTCGCGAACCCAGAATTCTGAGGATCCATCAACTCAATCGCTGGGGGGACCTAAAGCTGTTAACCTTTGCCCACACTGCTAAAAGTGCGCGTTACCAACGAACTCTGCTCAAACCATTCCGGGCTTAGTACCAAGAAGCACCCAAAACTCGTCGAAATCACACCCCCCCCCCCCAACACCGCCCACCGCCCACAAAAGCCAAAGTTAAAAATACCCAAAACATCATCCACAATGTGTTGGAGCAAATGGCAAGCCGGCTTGAGCGGACGGTGTCTCCGAGCGAGCCTCCCGTGTCGAGTGCGATGGTGCACGTGGCACGTGGCACCGCCGCGTCGGACACGCGGCGGCGAGGCGACGCCTCCCACGTGGGCAGAGGCCGGGCGACGGTTGGGATCGCAGCCCGCCTGGGGCACAAGGACGCAGCGCGAGCAACAACGAAAGATCACCCCCCCCCCAAACTCGCCCCCCCCCTCTCAACTCCCCCAACTCCCACCCCCCCCCAAGTCCCACCCCCCCAACTCCCACCCCCCAAACTCCCCCAACTCCCACCCCCCAAACTCCCCCCCCTCAACTCCCACCCCCCCCCAAGTCCCACCCCCCCAACTCCCCCACCCGTCCGAACTCCCTGACCCCACCTCAAGTCCCCCACCCCCCCACTAACTTCTCCACCCACCCCCTAACTGCCCCCCCTCAACTCCCCCACCCCCCAACTCCGCCCCCCCAACTCCCAACTCCCCCCCCCCCCCCATTTAACTCCCCCCCCACCCCCGAATTCCTCCACTCCCCCAATTCCTAACTCCCCCCCCCCTCAACTACCCCACCCCCCCCAACTCCCCCACCCCCCCAACCCCCCCAACTCCCAACTCCCCCCCCCACCCCCGAATTCATCCACCCCCCCAACTCCTAACTCCCCCCCCCCCTCAACTACCCCACCCCCCCCAATTCCTCCACCCCTCCAAACTCCCCCCCCGCTTCAACTTCCCCCCAACTCCCCCACCCCTCCCTCTACTCCCCCACCCCCAAATGATAGTCCAAAAAGTCGCGGCTTATCACGTGGAAGTGTACAGCACACCACAGATTCTGAACGCGCGCTGGTGATGATGTTGTTAATTGTCGATGTGGAGGAGAAAAACCCAGAGAGGGACCCGGAGAGACAATCCACGCGACCACGTGGAGAGAAAGAGAGAGAGAGAGAGACACGCGCAGACTCCACATACAGCAGCAGGCGTCAGGGGTCGCGATCGAGCCCACGACCTCCTGTATACCAGGCGAGGTAGTTAACATCTCCGAGCCACCGCGGCGACCCACTGAAGGTCGCAGCGCACCCAGCAAACTCAGAAAGCGCGCGGTGGCCGGAGCGCCTTCGCAGAGACGGCGTGTGCGACGCCACGCCGATTCGTGCCGCGCGCCCGAGTCGAATTCCTTTCGCGCCCCGCTACTATCGCCAGGCGCGCTCTCCCGATCGGAGGGTGCGCACGGGGGAAGGCCAACAAACTGGGGTCACGGCACGAGACGGATCCGTCCGTTCGGGGGCTGTCGCGGTGCTGTGCTTCGAGGAGGCGGTGTCCCGCGGAAGAAGGGGATATCGCGGATGCACTTCTGACATCCCGTCAAGTGGCCGCCTATCTAACACCAGAGGCGGGGGGGGGGCAGCAGCACTCTTCCGGCCGCCCGGCCACGCGGTTCCGATGTTCGTCGCGTGCCATCCCGAGAGACATTTCTCATTTCGCAGGGCTGGAACTTTAGCCGAATTGAGTGCGGAATGAAAACGTCACGTGAGGGGGTTGTTGTTGTTGTTGTTGTTGTTTTTGTGCGTTTGTGTGCGTTTGTGTGCAGCCATTGGTGACCACACTGAGATGATCAGCCGACTACACGACACCTGACAATCCGATTAAACCCCAGAATCTCGGCGGTGCCAGCTCTCCCCCCCTCCGAGACTCCCAAACGTCAACATGACCTTCCTACATCGTACCTGGCAGTGTAAGCAGAGACGCAATGGATGGAGATAAGCTGGCGAGGCAGGTCATAGACATTGCTGAAGCAGCGCTCACTAAGAATCAAGCCCTGTCCGAACGCCTTCTCTCCATCTCGTGTTTAGAGCGTATGCCGAAAGCTTTACCCCGGTAGCAACTATCTATCGCATTTACTGGGGTCCTGATGTTATCCACCAAGTCTCTATTTTAGTTGTCCTTATCCCGCGCCTCCGATTGGTTGGCTATGTACGGTGCGAAAGAAGTTCGACATACATACGCACGTACATACCAGGACCGTGATATTCTCAGTGCATCGGCAATTGGCCCAGAACTGTTCGTAAACTCCATCAGAATCAGAACCTTTACTTAGACTGGAGGAATCCGATGAGCTATGAAGCTCATTTTCACAGATGTCCAAACTCTGGACGTTGGCCATTTCCGCTCGATAGAAAAAAAAAACATCAATCACCACAACCGTGTCCTGGAGATCTCCCTGACAGAGCAGAGATCTTCACGCGACCTGACGATCATCGACTCACGGCGCTGAGCCCAATTACGACCGCCGGGTGGACGGAGAAGCGGCGAGGGGGTATTTAAGAAACTTGCCACGCCGGGAAATCGAACGTGACCGACGACCTCTGGATTAGAAGCCAGGGACGCTCACCACTACGCCGCGCAGTCATACCCGCGTCGTGTCGTACATTTGTTTTACGTCATAACTGCTCAGCTTCAATCGCGATAACTTTAAAATCCTTCCTTGTGTCTGCGTTCCGATATTTCAAAAGAGATTTCACCTCAGTTCGTCACTTAGCTCGCCTAGATATTAAAAAAACCCCGCAAAGCTTGCCCATTTCTCTCTTAACCGTTTGCTGGATGTGTGTCGTGAATTGAACGCGTGATCGTGAACAGCATCTAATGAGGTCAATAGTCCCACGAAATTAATGCCACAAGTTCAAGGCGGTCATGTGATCCGTAGCCAAGAGCTGATTGGAGGCTATCATGGCAACCACACGCTCAGGTTGAGTCGTCAGGAATCGTGAAGACGTGACATTAACTGGAACTGAAAACATTTTCAATTGGCAATTGCTGGTATATACCCCCCCACCACCCCCTCCCCCCCCCCCCCAGAATGATCATCTTACAGTGCACTGAGTTCTTAAGGCATAGGCGTAGAAAGTCAGTGCCAGTGTGTTATTGTGAGCGTTCAGAGACACCACAGCAATCACGGTAAAAAAATGTTGAAACTCTGAGTTTCGGCCAATTCAGCAGCAGCAGCAGAGAAAGAAAAACATTTTGGCGTTCGTGTCGGTGGTGGGGGTGCAGAGGGGGCCTACGATGAATGAAGATGAAGCCGAACGGAGATTTGTTTTGTTTTTAACACTCGAGCACAAAGAGTCACGGTGGTGGCGTGGAGGCTGGAGATGAGACGACGTCACAAAGCGGTGGCCATGATGGAATTCCTGTCGCCCCTGGCAACCGCAGCGCACGTGCGGTGACGTTCATCCGCCGGTCGTTTCCGTTTCCCCAGCTCGCTCTTTTTTTGGTAATTTTTTGTTCCCCCCCCCTCTTAATTTAAACTAAATTAAAACATTTTATTTGTATTTTACTAGGTAAGGCTAAGTTAAATTTCGATTTAAATCTTTCGTGACTGCAAGGATTCATCTTCTTTGGTTCTTTCGGTAAAGTCACGTAGAATGAGAATAAATTAATAAATTAATAAAATAAAATAACACAATAAAATTCTCCCGACGTTTCGGCCACAACACAAGTGGCCTTCATCAGGTAACTGTCTGACAGTCTCGTCCCTTCACCTGATGAAGGCCACTTGTGTTGTGGCCGGAACGTCGTGAGAATTTTATTGTGTTATTTTATTTTATTAATTTATTATTTTATTCTCATTCTACGTGACTTTACCGAAAGAACCAAAGAAGAAGGCTAAGTTATACAGCTCTTTTTCAGAAGCGACCTGACCACAATTAATAGCTCAACGAAGTGGCATATCACGTGTAAATTTCTAGCAGCCAAATACTCTCAACGCGCGTTTCTAAATGTGGAGGGAAACATTCGGAGGACCCGGAGGAAAAGAAAAAAAATCCACGTGATCACGGGGAGAGGGAGAGAACACGCAAGCTCAAAATATACAGGCGTTGTGAGGGGTCGGGATCGAACCCACGAACCTCCTGCCTACCAGGCGAGGTAGTTAACATCTCCGAGCCACCGCCGGCGTTGGTGTCATGGGACGAAGCTTCCGTTCGCGCGCGAGCCATTGCGCTCACGGGAGAGAGGATCTCGTCGCGTGACCTCCGCTCCACGCACAGTGGAGAGGCGCAGCGAGACCCTCCCAGCCGTGGCGCCGACACGAGAAGAACGCTCGTCACGTGACAGTCAAAACCGATCGTCTCTCGATTCTCACCGACGGGAACTTTTGTTTTTGTTTTCGCCAAATTGATCGCCAGGAACAAACGTAATGCGATGGGGCTGTTTTCTTTGCTGTTTGTTTGTTGTGCAGTCATTGGTGACCGGGTTGACACACATTCCATTTTCACCTCTTTATCGTAAACCCCCACCACCCCCCCCCCCCTCGCCGCCCCCCCCCCACCCCCAACCACGATCAAAAGCCTTCCCCGCCAACTCGAAAACCTGCAATTCGCCTGCCAGTCAGCTGCCAACATTTTTTTTGACGCTGACCGCTCCGTGTAAACCCCCCGCTGCCACTTGGCTCATTTACGGAAAAACTCCTGGATGGGCCCAGGGAGGTACTTAAGGAAGGCTTCGAAGAGGCTTTCCTCAGGGCCCTCGTCGGAAGCGTCCCCGCACCCGGGAGGGATGGCCCGCTTGGGGCGGGTGAGGCTGCCCTCGGATCCAGCCACACCGCCGGAAACGCCGCCGCCACCGCCGCCGCCGCCGCCGCCCCCACTGCACGCGGCCTCCATCGCCGCTTTGGCCTCGGCCTCCCGCTCCTCGCGCCGCTTGAGGCCGTACTGCGCACAGCAACGGGCCAGTGGGACGGGAGGGAGGGAAGGGGAGGGCACAACAACGGACACCAGCGCTGACTGGGCCCATTTTTTACACGTGCACATCCGAGCCGTCCTGGCACGGGGACCAGCACAGCACGCCTGGTTTTTTTTTTTTCCCACTGGCATTCAGCCCAGCCGAGCCGAGCCCCATTTTGGGGCTAACGCGGATAGCGCTCTGCTACGCTACGAACCCGGCGACACGAGTTTGATTCGCGCTCACGGCCACAAACACCAGTGACGATTACATGAACCGGTCCTGGGCCTCCCCTAGTTCGACTCAGCGTCAAATGAGTACCTGGATGCGGTGTGTAAACATCGCGACTCGGGAGACAAAGGCGCTTGGCCGTGGTGCTGGTGACCCACCCCTTCGTGCGCCGTTCTGGCCTTAATAGATGCTCGCTAACAGAACTTGCCCCAACAGTATTTCAAGGCTATGCGGGGGGTCTTTGTCTTTGTTTGTGAAAATGTGCGTGTGGTCTCCTCGCACAAGAAATCAGAGACTCACGGTTGGAATTGGTCAAACATCCAAATGTGGCAACGGCCCTTTCAAAGTGCATATTACCCTTTTGAAAATGATCACATATATGTGTGTTGTTTAATCACTGTGTAACAAAAAAATAATTTTTGTTCCTGGGTAGTAAGTATTATTTTCTAATTTATTTTGCCTCAAAAGTACAGAAAATGGCTATTATTCCCCACAAACTTTGCTTTTGTGAGCAGGACATTGATATTTTTAAATTTACCTGTTTTCAATGAGAAAACGTGGTGTGCATTTGTGTCATTCGTCCACGTAAAGTCCCGGTCACAAAAGCAAGTTTTGTGGGGAACAATATCCATGTTCTATACTTTTGACGCATAAGCAATTATAAAATAACACGTACTACCCAGGAACAAAAATCGTGTTACATAGTGTATAATTATTACGTTCCATTATTCGTCAATCGATTATTGATAAAGACTTTCCCCGTGCCGTGTTGGTCATTGGATTTGTTTGACCATACAGTAGAACCCCTGTTAACGACTAATCGCTTAACGACGGGCCTCCATAGAGCCCAATATGTAGTGTATAGTAGTGTAGTGTATAGTGTAGTGTATAGTGTAGTGTATAGTGCAGTGTAGAGTAGTGTAATGTATAGTGTAATGTATAGCAGAACCCTTCTTAACGACCACCCCCGTTAGTGATTAATGCCTTAACGACGTGCCTCCATAGTGCCCAATGTGTAGTGTATAGTGTAGTGTATAGTAGTGTAGTGTATAGTAGTGTATAGTGTAGTGTATAGTAGTGTAGTGTATAGTGTAGTGTATAGAAGTGTAGGCCCTCCATAGAGCCCAATATGTACGCTTGCCGACCATTCCCTGTTAGCGATGGGCTTGCAACGAACACGCGACCACCAATTTCGGCCAATCGGCGAGCTCCAAAGTGTTCTGACTAGGCCTCGGCCAATCAGCGACGTCCATTCATGAGCGTTAGGGCATTTTTTACATTCGGTGTCTGATGCGTTTTGAAGTTGAAACATCTCTTGAATTCTTGGTGTATTTTGACTTTAAACTTTAATTAAATCAATAATTACGGCTTCCAAAGTGCTCGCGAATGAAGACAAGTAGGTGAGGAAGACAATTAGTGTTTTAACCAAGAAATAAAAAATATTGATAAACATGAAAGAGGTGTAAAAATAGGTGCGCTGAGTAAGTAAATATGGCCTGCCCTTGCCTAACGACCAAATCACTTAATGACCGGTTTCGTGGAACCCATTACCGTCGTTAAGAGGGGTTCTACTGTAGTTCACAGTGCTGGCCGATTCTATGCCCCCCCCCAAGCCACCCGCCTATTGAAAATTGGACAAATCGCACCCTGACTAAAACCATCGGGAACCATTCTCGAGCGGCACGCAGGCCCCCAACTTCCAAAAGCGTGTTTTTGTATTGTTTGTTGCTGTTGTTGGAACGTTCTGACCCCGTGACCCCGGACAGGACACCTGTGCAAAAAGAGCTCTATAAGCTCATCGGATTCCTCCCGCTGTATAAGTCAAGATTCTGATTCTGATCTTCCGAAGCGTGGCTGGGCCCCCGTCACCGCCGACCCCCTGATCCCATCTCCCTCCCACCCCCCCCCCCGCGACCTCTCACCTTGTCCCGCACGTTCTGCCGCACGCGCTCCCGCTCCGCCTCCATCTTGGCATGCTTCAGCTTCCGCTCCTCCTCCTGCTGCCGCAGCGCTTCCCTCCGATCCTCTTCCTTCTTCTGCGCTTCGGGGTCTTTCTCCGCCTGGTCTCCTCCGAGCATCTTCCCCACGTCCTTCGTGGCGCCTGCAGCGCACCCGCAACGCGCCGCGCAACACCGCAACACAACGCACCACGCCATACCACACCGCAACACAACGCACCACGCCATACCACACCGCACCGCACCGCACCACACCGCACCGCCGCAAAAGGGGACGACGGTGTTTGTGGCCCGTACGATATACATCTCCGATGAGCACGGTCGGCTCCGTACGGCCCGGAAGAATTTGAACGTGCATACGTGCACGCGCCATCTATTTATTTATTTATTTCTGAGACCTGCCACACCGTTTCCCAGTTGAGAAACAACGGCGCCAGTGGCTCAAATCCCTCCTCGGCCACTCTCTCTCTCTCTCCGCCTGGCGTTGTGAATGGATACACCGCAGTTCGGCAATCGGCAGGTGGTGGAGTAAAGTGTGAGCACTCCCAAACTCTTCCAAGACGTCTGGCCAGCGTGGAGGGAGCAAGAGGACAATGGAGGCTTCAGAGGTGGCTCTCAGGAGCTGCCTCTCCTTGGAGGATCCTTCCGATAGCAGTGGCTAGGAGATGTTGACTACCTTGCCCGGTATACAGGAGGATTGTGGTTTCGATCCCGACCACAACGCCTGCTGTATAGTTGGAGTTTGCGTGTCTCCCTCTCTCTCTCTCTCCCTCTCTCCCGTGGTCGCGTGGATTTTTCTCCGGGTCCTCCGGTTTTTTCCCTCCACATTTAGCATCAACATCACGCGTTTAGAATTTTTGGCTGCTATAAATTTGCACGTGATAAGCACACTTCGTTGAGCTATCATTTGTGGCCAGGTCGCTTCTGAAAAAAAGCTGTACAGCTCAGTGGGCCTTACCTGGTCAAATGAAATAGTTAAGCAAACAATTGCAAAGCTCCACCTTTATCTATTATGATTTCACACCGGCTTGCATCATTCACCGGATTGAATCATTCACCGGATTGAATCATTCACTCGCTTCAATCAATCACCGGATTCAATCATTCACTGGCTTGCAGCATGCACCGGCTTGAATCATTCATCGGCTTGCATCATTCGCCAGCTTACACAATCCACTGACTTTAATCAATCACTGGCTTAAATTATGCACTGGCTTGAATCATTCACCGGCTTGCACAATAGTACCTGGCTTGGTTCATTGGCCGGCTTGCTAACAACAGAGCGTGGCTTTGCACGAAAAAAAACCTCCCGTTGCTCATCATTTCCCCAGGTCGCAATCTTAACTCGCTTCGCCGGAGCGTGGGATGAGCTAACGAGCTGTTGTGAACGACGCGTCTCGGATCTGGTTTGGTGGCCGCTCATTCGGGGGGTGGGGGGGGGGGGAACTAACGACCCAGCACGACCGGATGGAACTCGCCGCCGCGGCCGATTATACGCAGATGTCCCAGGTATCGCGCACTCTCCATACAAACTACAAATCGCTCAATTAATTGAACAGCATTGGCGCTGCTACATGAGTTTTGCCGTTCGTGAGCCTCATGTACAATAAAAGTTCATTTCTTTAAAAACTTATTTTTTTGGGGGGGGCATTAATTTGTAGTAATTTCACCCGTACCTCCGATGTAGCACTGTTGATTACGTACGTGCCGTGCGAAAATAAGTCCAACGTACGCACGTCACGGTTTCATCAGGTGATTAGCAGCATTGTGAAAATCTCCTTTGAAGGCGCGAGACTGGAGGAGACGTTCACAAAGCTGGCAACCAGCGTGTGACGGGTCGTACGTAAGCCGCCTGTTAAATGTTAGTGGAATCGCTGTCCAGCACACCGGGGGTGCTGAAGCGTTCAGGATGGGCGTGTTCGTTCACGTGACGACTCTAAGACGTTCAACGTCAATGCGTGCTTACTCACGTAGAGACCGGGAGTGAGAGATGCACAACTTTCGGGCCTAAGTGATCAACGGGACTGACCTGGCCATTATGAACTCCCCCTAAAAGGTGGAGAAAGATACCCAGCCCTCGTTTCGTACCGTCACTCAAAGACTTTCCGAGATGACGTGAGCGTCGTGACGTCCCCCGCCTTCATCGTCGTCGCTCGGGTGTTGGCAAAAGCTCACTCGCCGCCTCGATTTGATTGACGGGTGGTGGAGGGTGATTGGTTCGCACATTGACGTGATCCACCGCGCGACGATCTATCCCTGGTAGAAACTAATTTGTGTGAATCATAACATTGGTTGTGAAGGGCTACGTATTGAATGGAAAATCCGTGGCGGCGCCTCGTGTGACTCATCTGCCAGTTGTGGCAGATGAGTAATGTCACGGGAATTATAATTATTATTACGAGAGACGAAAAAAAGCATGCCTTCGCGAATGAAATTATTAACCCGCACTTATCCTTGCGGACGGATATTTTGTGACAGCTTTTTTCGGATGAAGGCATGCCCACACTGTGTCCGAGATGGGCGTTTGACCATACTTCACCACCACGGTCAGTCTAGGTTGGAGGTTGGTGAACGGGTGAAAGGAGGTGGGTGGGGGGGAGGGGGGGGGGGGGTCGGGGGCGTTGTACGTATGTTGAACTTCTTCCGCACCGTACGTAACCAACCGCGCTAATTGGAGGTGCGAGTGAATGACAACAAACTGAACACGAAAAGCAGTTCGAACGAAGTGAATCTCCAATCTCGATGATGTAAAAGTGCATAGCTCCAGTGGCTTCCTAATACCGGAAGGAGGAGCGTTCCAGACGGCCGCGGAAGCGCATCTGAAAGCGCCGCGCGATGCGGTGACCACCGCCGTCTTTGTCCGACGGGCTAGCCAAACGCCGCTGCTGCTGCTGCTGCTGCGAGGATGCCGGATTTGGTGTGATAGTGGTTCCTGCTCCTTGACGGCATCAGCGAGGTGTTGCTGTTGATTTGTGGCGAGCACTTTGTGTGCAATGAGTGCGACCTGGCAACGTGGCCCTTTACGCAACCGGAAGCCAACCAACGCAGCTGGGCGAGCGCCGGACGGACGCGGTCGTTGCTGCTAAACCACTGACCCCACCGGAGCCGAGGACAGAAGCCCCTCTGGGCATAATTTAAAGTGTTTTATACCACGGGGGGACTCTGCGCTGAAGTGAAATTATTGGCTTGTTCGCGCAACAATGGGGTGGAGAGGCCTTTTTGGTCGATGTTAATTATCGCGCTGTCTGGCCCGTGCCTTTTGTTATTTATTCTTTATTTTATTTTTAAATGTGGTTTTTTTTAAAGGATTTTTTTTTTAAGTTTGTGCCCTCTGCAAAGGAACGCAGCTCGTCGGCTCGGGCGGCAGTTGTTGAATCACCTACGTTGGAAAATTGTTGTTTTGTTTTTGTCGTAAAAACAAAAAAGGCACCACGGAAGGCTGACAGAGCACGAGGCGCGAGCTGCGATCAACGCACGCGTGCTCACGGCTCTCTCGTCGCTTCAGAGCCGTGCGTGACACTCTGCGTCCGAACGCATCCTCGTTCTCCCGGAGAGCACTGCAGGTTGTTTCGCCTTGTCGAGCAAGCGGCATGCCCGAGAGACGTCGTCGCTCAGCCGCCTGGAACGATGGCGGTGGTTGCGAGGGTTGAAATGTCGGTCAATTGTCGTGCACTTGACATTGCTTTCTCGTTTTGTTGCAAACAACAAAAAATAAACGAGCACTAAACCGGCGTGCTACAGCATGGTCAAATTATTTCCCACGACCGACACGGCCTTCATCCGATAATATCTTTACAAAATAAAATAAGGGGTAATACTGTGACATCGATTTCGCGCGTTGCTCGTTATGTTGGTTGAATGTGTTATGCGCACCGCGAAATATAATAATGATGAGGAATGAGACCCAAGACTATTTTTAAGGAGGGCCCTGCTGCATTGAGATGTTTGGTCTGTCCCATGAATGGAGGAAACCGGAGAACCCAGAAGGGAACCCACCAGCACCTTTGGACCCAGCGCTCTTAGCGAGCAGCACCTACGAAGGCCGGTACGACACACGAGCGAGGTTGGGTGGCCAGCACCGCGCCCGGCCGCCTTTGTCTCCCCCTAGTGGCGATGTTTACTACACACCGCACCCAGGTACTCATTAGAGGCTGAGTCGATCCAGGAGGGGGGGGGGGGGGAGTTGTGCCCAGGACCGGTTCAGATAACCGTCACCGGTGTTGGCCGTGAGCAGGGAATCGATCTCGGTGTCGCCTGGTTCGTAGTGCGGCGCGCTAAGCGCTGCGCCACCGCTCCCCGCAAAGGCAGACAGACGCGCCGCACGCGCGCACGAGACTCTACCTCCAAGGGCTTGTTTCATGACGAAGTCCATGGCCGTGCGATGGGTGGTGTCCACTCAGGGAGCAGCACAATGTCACATGCAGTCTGGGAGTACGAAGCTGATTTGCTGCAACAACAACAAAAACAATTATAAACATGCGCATACACAGATCACAGGCTGATTAGTAATCAACAATTAGCAATCACAATGACTTTTCCTGCACTTTCACACACATACACACACCCGTATGGCAGAGAAAAGCAGCAAGCTTTGTCGAGAACAGCAGCAGATGTGTAGATGCAATGATGTCCGGTATTCTTTTAGCCATCCGCTCAACAGCGCTGGTTGTCAACTGGGCCCAATTTCTGCCTTCGATGTTTTCCGAATACGCCGATGGGGCTTGATTGACCTTGCGAGATGGGACCGGCCGGCGTAAGGCACTACCACTAGGGAGTGCACGGTACGCTCGATGCATGGCAATGCCATATTCATGAGGACGAAATAAGCGTCGCGAGGACAAAATTACGGAGAGGATGTGTTTTACTTTGAATTAAAAAAACGTTGATTCAACGCTCTCGAATGTCCTATTTTAAATATGAACAAACACTCACGTGACACGAATGCGCGTGCACATGTTTAATTAAAAATTCTTTCTCAAGCACTGAAGCGTCCAATTTTCAGTGAGTTATTTATTTTACGTTTTACGTCAAACAATCGTGGAATTACATTGAGGGGAAGAATAAAAAACACGCATGATGAGAGAACACACGCAGGTTCAATGACGCAATTCAAAGCGTTAGGATACGCGAGTTGTTAGGCTCGGGGCAGGACTGGTCACTAGACGTGATGATGGTCAACGCTGATGAACCAGAATCTTTATTTAGACTGCAGGAGAAGGAAGCTGGGTTTTTTTCCCACAGGTCAGCTAGCTGCAACAACAACAAACAATACACACAAAAAACAATAAAAATACACAACAAAACAGGTCCCTGCAGGGTGGGCTGGTAGGACAAGTCTCTGCGCTGTCTATTGCTGATTTTACACCCAACAGCACGAGATTTCACTTCGTTAAAGTATTGAAAGGGGACGGACGGACGGACGGAGGGGGGGCCGACGGAGCTGGGGGGGGGGGTGACGGAGCCCGGGGGGGGGCCGACGGAGCCAGCGGGGGGGCGATGAAGCCGGGGGGGGGGGGCGACGGAGCTGGGGGGGGGCGACGGAGTCAAGGGGGGGGGCGGGGCGACGGCGCAAGCAGAAGGAGCCGACACTGACTCACTCACACATCATGCACTGACTCACTCACACATCATACACTGACTCACACATCATACACTGACTCACTCACACCATACACTGACTCACTCACACATCATACACTGACTCACTCACACATCATGCACTGACTCACTCACACATCATACACTGACTCACTCACACATCATACACTGACTCACTCACACATCATGCACTGACTCACTCACACATCATACACTGACTCACTCACACATCATACACTGACTCACTCACACATCATATACTGACTCACTCACACCATGCACTGACTCACTCACACATCATACACTGACTCACTCACACATCATACACTGACTCACTCACACCATACACTGACTCACTCACACATTATGCACTGACTCGCTCATCATGCGCTTACTCACTCACACGTCATACACTCGCACAACCACTGACCCTTTCACTCATCATACACAGGTTCACTCATCGTGTGCTGGCTCACTCGCACATCATACACTGACTCATTCATCATGCGCTGACTAACACATCGTGCGCTGACTCACACATCATACACTCACTCACACTGCCACTGACTCGCTCACACATCATACACTCGCTCACACATCATTCACTGACTCACTCTTCATACGCTGACTCGCACATCATACGCTGACTCGCACATCATACACTCACTCACACTGCCACTGATTCACTCACACATCATACACTGGGAGTGTCGTGATGCCAGCTATGGCTGCAGTTTTTTTGTCGTACGTGTTATGTATATCGTTTATTGTTAAATTTAAATTCACAGTTCCTATGATTACTGTTGTTACATTGTTTTTACAGCTTTATTTTGGTGATTCGAAAACATATGGTTAATCTAAATTGTCTTATGGTTGTTGTTGTTGGCTTGCACCACGTTGTAACATGTTTTTTTTTGCGTGGAATATTTGCTGGTTTATACCAGGATGTTTCTGTAACGCGTTGTCGCTTTAAGATGTTTCTGTGTTCAAATTTTGTTTGTTGCGGTTGCACCCGACTTAAGAGCCGCATGGCTCACAGGGCTATACCTAATAAATGAAACTTGAAACTTGAAACTATTGCAGGCTGGTACACTCAGTTTACAACTTCGTTCCTACCAGCATAATACACAACAAACAATATACAAAACAAACAATACACCAAAAAACAACAAACAACACCCAACAAACAATACACATAAAACCACAAACAATACACAACACGCAATGCACAACAACAACAACAAAATACACAAAAAAACAACAAACCCCGATAGGAGTGCAAAGTAGAGAAAACGGTAAGTAAGGCATAACATACAAATACATCACGAGCCGCCATCCATTATGTAAGTCCGGCTCATGAAGGTTCGGGGCAAGGCAGCCAAAACTACGACAAAAAGGATCCCCCAGACCACGGCGAGACAGCGCCGCAGAGCAGCGGCAAGTCTCTAAGTCACGGTGGAGTGGCAGCCGAGGAACATCACGCGTCCCCGTGGACGCTCAGCCAGGAGACGGAGCGGTGAACTCAGTTCACGCGCAGGTGCTTGCTGGATTGTAACATCGTCCCAGGATCACGCGAGGTCGGCGGTGAGGGGGGGGGGGGTGGTGGCTTGGCGAGGCCTTCATCCAGCAGTGGATCGAGCACAGATGGCGCTGACGACGACGACGACGACGAAGCGCCCGTTTCATTCGTGGTAACAAAACAAACAAACAGAAACCAGCACGAGGAAGATCACTGAAATGGCTGCACGATTATAGCCGAATTGAAACATCTATCTCACTCCAAGACCAGAAGCACATCGGTGTAATAGTACTTTAGATTTTCTTCAATAATTCCACGAATATTTTAAGAAGCAACAGTGTTGCCGAGAAGAGTCATGCGCCACACATTCCACTTTGTGCATGACAGGACGTGACCTTACCTGGCAAAGGAGGCCAAAAACATGTTGTCGAATTGGTATTCAGGATTTACAATGCAAGAAATCCTATTTTCTCGTGTGACTTGACAGCCAATTACAGATTCTGCTAACTCTAAATTATAAATGAATTATGCGTAAATAGTAATGGCGAATTAATTATGTATGATACGAATTAAAAGTGACACATTCTAATTTTCTCATTTAAAATGAAAATCATCGTCACCACCACCACCATCATTGTCATAATTTCTCACGATGGCTCCACTCCCTGATGGAGGCCCGTTCCCAAAACGACGTGCCACCACCGTTCACGGTCCCAGAGGTGCAGCAATCCCCGTGCTATGCTTCAGTTCGATATCAATCGGGAGGTTATAAATAAAGTTACCGAAACGTGTCAGGCCCGTCTCGATGCTTGCCACCTTCCCACGTGTATGCGCGTCCCTAGCCGTCGCGAGAGATGCGACTCAAAAAATAAAACTAAACATCATCATCATCTGCTTTGGTTCTTTCGGTAAAGTCACGTAGAATGAGAATAAAATAATAAAATAACACAATAAAATTCTCGCGACGTTTCGGCCACAATGCAAGCGGCCGTCTTCAGGTGAAAGGTACAGACCTGTCGGGACGACAAAGCTGGAAGCTCTGTCGTCCCGACAGGTCTGTCACGAAAGCTTTAAATCGAAATCATCATCATCATCAATGCCGTCTCGTCTTGCGGCCCCATATACGTGACGTTCTTTGTTCGCCAGTTTAACGTTGCAGAGCATTCGCACGCGCGCACGTTCCGCGACCATTTGTCGTTGTCGTTGCTTGCTCGAGTTTTATTTGTCTTTGTTGTCGGCGTGGTTTGCAATTCTCGCCGCCGCAATTCGTCTCGGCGGCCACCGTGGACGTACGAAGAAGACCTCGGGCCCGGGGAGGGAGGGCCCTGGGGTGGAGGAGGGGTGTGGGTGCCAGGGAGGTCCCGCAGACGAGCCACTTAATTCGGACCCCTGCCGAGTGGCAGATATGCCATTAAGGGGACGGTTGATTGCGCGTCCCGTGGCCTCGTTGGGCCAGCTCAGTCGTGCCACGGTTTTCCGCGTGTGCCACACGGGGGAAACAAGGCGCCGCGAACATCGATCTTGCGAATTTGATCGTTATCCACGCGTGCACGCGCGTGTCTTGTTAAAGAGGTGATGAATCTCAAGGGGGGGGGGGGGGGGGGTGGTGTCGTATCGCATTTTGGTTGAATCAAGGGGCCGCTGCATTGATGGCCGAATGATATGCACTTCCGGCAACGGTGACTTGGTGTGGATTTACCTGAGCGTATACATTGGATCGCATCTCAGGGGCGTAATGATACATACAGAGGGAGAAGATAGAGCCAGTCAGTCGTGAGTGAGTCTGTGGGTCTCTGTGTGTGTCTATGGGTCTCTGTGTGAGTCTGTGGGTGTCTATGTGGGTCTGTGGGTCTCTGTGCATCTGTGGGTCTCAATGTGAGTTTATGGGCCTCTGTGTGAGTCTGTGGATCTCCGTGAAAAGTATGTGGGTCTCTATGCGAGTCTATGCTAATATAATCGGTACTTATATTGTATAAGGGCTGTCAGTTATCACAGTAAAGTAAGGCCGTAATTATAATATTGGGGGGGACAGATCCCCCCCAATATTCAAATATGCTCAAAATGCTATAAATATATTTCTGTTTATATGATTGTGGTTATGGTTGTACTTTATAAATCCCTAATCTCTGCCATTAAATACAATGAAAAAAGAAAATGTAAAAATAAAAACAGAGCAATGTAATACAATACACTGTTAGACATTATTGTAAAAAATACATAAAAAGTCCATCATATGTGTTAGTGAATTTTTAAAAAATATTTTATGCAGGAAATGGCAGGAAATTCGTTTTCAAATTTAATTTTTTTTCTGGGGGGGGGGACACCCCCAG